GTCGGCGTCAACTTTACAATTTCAACTTCTTCTTCGAAACCGCAAGTCAGAATGTTTTCAAATTTGATATGCAAGTACCTTGGATGGTCTTTCTCAGATTTGTTCATTTCATTCTCTATTTTTGGTGAATATTTTTGTCATTTTTGGTAAAAAGTGATATTTTCGACTTCTTGTGAAAAACCGATTACTTTGATGTTACATATATAGGTACTATATGTGGACCTCTCAGATTTGTTCATTTCGTGATGATATCTTTAATTATCTTATTTTGATGATTTTTGGTGAAAAGTGGTATTTTTGAATTCTTGTTGAAAACAGCAAGTCTAATTGCTATACATAGTTCTGTTCTTTAAGTGCAATGTGCATTGCTAACAGCGGAGTTATCTCAGCCGATAGGCTGCTTGTTTTAATGATGTACCAGTGGATAGTGTGTGCTTATCAATTCCAATGTTACTTGTCTTATCAGCGCATCAAAGGCACCGGTCCTCAAGGCAGAATCAAGGCTGAGGATGTTGAAGCTGCTGCAGCAGCGCCACCACCACCACCTCAACCACCAGCAGCAGTACCAACAACACCTATTTCAACATCCGCCCCTGCTCCCTTACCACCACCAACAGCCACGTCATACACGGATATTGAACTCAGTGGCATGAGAAAAGTAAGTCATCTGATTGGTTGAATTGCATGACACTTAGTTTTTTGAATGAAATTTACATAATTTTTTGGATAATTTTCACACATTCCTGACTAATTTAATTAGCTCATAATATTATACATGTCCTAGTATTGGTTCTTTTCTATTTTGTTTTGTCCTTAATAAACAAGACTGGTTCTTTGCTCAAACCATTGTGTCATGTATATTTTGCAGTGCTCACAAATATTCCATACTAGAAAACCAGATGGTTTTCAGGTACCTGCAACTGTATACATGTATACGCATTGAACAAAATATGTGCCCAGAACTGGCACAGTCGCCATGCAATGTCCAAATTTCATGTAAATAAACAACGTGTGTTGTGCATGTCACACGGGATTCATAATGAAAATATCGAAACATGACAATTGTTGTACTTGAAGCTTGTAACCACAAACTAAAGCATGTGTAAGTTTAGTATGCGGCAATCATTTAGTTTAGTATGCGGGTACATTGTATGTCTTATTTAATTTGTACCAAGACTTGTTAAGTGTGAAGCTTTGCTACACAGTCATTTTAAACATGCAGAAATTGAGTCCAAAGACACGTACATGTAGTTAGGTGTTTGTTTGTAAACAATGACATGCTATTGTCATCTGCTGTATTCACATGGTAGTGAATCCCACGCTTTAAAATTACATTTCTATATGAGTATGCAAGTCAGAAATATGTAATCCCATAACCAGCTTATAAATATGAAGACATGAATTCTCATTGGCAAACTTAATAGTACAAAGTGTCCTTGTAACATTGTATTATTATCTCTTTTCAGACAATAGCAAATAGACTAACTTATTCTAAGCAGACAGTGCCCCATTATTATCTTACAGTGGATATTAGAGTGGACGATTTATTACAGTAAGTACATGGTTGTAAAATTACATTTAGTTTTAATAGTCCAAACTGCTTGAACAGTAGACAAGTTTCAGCTGTTACCTTAGAAACTTGCGCACTCTGGTGTAAATTTATTTCTCTGTAGGTGGGTTGATTTTGTCGCGTAAATATTCGATAACTCATCAGAATGCCGGGTACCGGGGAAACCAGTAAATATATTGGGTTAGCTGGAAATAGGAAACCAACTTATGAAGCTATATAATTGCCTCCATGATACCCCGATGCAATTCCTGGAATTAACAGCTACCTCTTTAATAATATGCCCATATTGCCACTTGAGGGTGCAGTAAGCAGTATGGCAGCATTCCCTGGTTCCCAATGTCCCTTGCGAGTGGTAGGTAGGACGCAGGTACCTAACAGGTAATCGCCATATCGTTCCACTTCGCCGGGATTCCGGCCCAAAGGCACGTGACTAACTGACATATTTGAAAACATTCTAAGTTCCGTTCTGCGTAAACATGTCTGTTCGTTCATTTGGCCTGCTAGGACTTCATACTCGAGGTGATTCTAAGAAAGAAAAACCTGTTTTATATTTAAAACGACCGCGAGGGTAAGCGCTGACCCAGGAAAATAGACCCAAGGAAAGTAGAACAAGGAATGAGAATGTGATCAACTAATCAGAATGCCGGATCCGTTACTAGTTATTGGTCTTTTGTGGCTTGGTACGCCATAACACTTGAGACGAGAACCAGTCAATATGGCTGCATTTATCTTTATGCCTCTTCTTTTTCTTTAAAATCACTTTAGATAAACTAAGTTGATCTCACTCATCTTATCAGACCATCATTACCATATAGATTTGTTACTCATCCTGAATATGTTTTATAATAATTTATTAGGCTTCGAAAAGACCTGAATAAAGAAGTAGAGCCTGATGGTATCAAGTTGTCAGTTAATGATTTTATTGTGAAGGCATCAGCGTTGGCATGTCTCAAAATCCCAGAAGCAAATTCAGCGTGGCAGGATACATTTATTAGACAGTAAGTAATTTTATATTATGCATGTTCCAGGGCTATCTTGATTTGAATCGTTAGAGCGACACAGTTATTATTATGCTGCGTCATGTTCAAATGTAATGAATAACAAAATTGATGCATTTATTTCAACAGATTCCAGTCAGTTGATGTGAACGTTGCAGTGAGTACTGATCGGGGTCTTATTACACCTATTGTCTTCAATGCTGATGGAAAGGTATATTTCTTTCTTATAATCATTTTCTACTATGAAATAGTTATTTTTGCATAAGAGGAAAGCATGATTCTATTTTCAAATAATACAATGTCAGAATTTCTTTTGTTTTCCCAGTTCATAGATTGTCATTGCTTTTATTGCATTGTGCATGTTCAAAAATGTTTTCACTTGAAATGGTTTTTTTTTCAAAACTGAAATAGAAGATAATTCTATGCTTTAACACTTTGTTAACATGTTGATACAAAGGAAAATCATTGCTGCTGTTGCAGTACCTGAATAATCAGTGTCAAATTACACAAACATTGAATTCTTGGTTAATTAAAAATAGAAATAAAAACAAATTATTCTTATTCGTCTATTTCATGCTGTGGTTTGTTTTGGATATACACTTTCATCCATGCCATCCATTACTTTCATGCCTGTGAAAACCATATTATGTAATGAGATGTAAAATTTAATTAGTATCTGTTATTATGTATCTGCCAAGAAAATAATAAAATTGTAATTGGCATGATAATAAAGCATTTCACAGTATTTACCTCAAAACGCTGCTTCTCAGGAGAGGTTTCTGGTTGAGCTTATTATACCTGTGATTCATTCACTTACGATAAGAACCTGTTATTCATTTATCTATGTTTGTGAATAGTACTTGCCTATGATGTCATTTATATGCACAAGACATAGCTGGTGATATGATAATCTCATAAAAAAAACTGTTATAAACAATATTCATTTTTTCAGGGAATTTCTACAATTAACCAAGATATTAAATCATTGGCAGTGAAAGCCAGAGAGGGTAAACTTCAACCAGAAGAATATCAGGTAATTACTGTAATTATCAAAAAATACTTTTAGAACAGGTAAAATTGTATGGAGTAATAGTAGTGATTTTGTAATGTTATTTACACAATGTTGATTTCACTGTAGGGTAGTAGTGCAAACCTGTTGCCTGAAATCTTTGTATAACTTTTACATTTCCTTATCTGGTATTTGTTATGTTTAGAAACAATGCACCTGAAGCTTTGGCTAAATAAAATTATTTATGTTTCAATACTACATGGTAGATAAGCATTGTTTGTGTGTGGATTAAGGGAATCTTGTTAAATTTGTTGTATTATTCCTTTCCAGGGTGGCACATTCACAGTTTCAAACCTTGGTATGTTTGGTGTAAAACATTTCACTGCAATTATAAATCCTCCTCAAGCCTGTATATTGGCAGTTGGTGGGGTGAAGAAAACACTGGTTGTAGATGAAGACAATGAACAGGGGTAAGACAATGTAATTGGTTCTATTGAGACAGTTTTGAGAGATGGTTGTCCACATGTGGTTTTTATGACTCTGTAATTCTTGCATCTGACCAAACCAACATTTTCAGTTTGAGGAAGATCATTCACAATATGAAATAACAAGTAATGACAAGACGTAGTTCCTGTCATATGAATGTAACATTATATTTGAGTGCATGTGCTCATACCTTGTATGTCA